GAAAGGCTGGAACTACAGCCAGAGCAGCTAACCTGCACAGATTACTCCACAGACTGTGCACATTAAGTCCCATGGGGGCGGAAATTTGTGAATTGTGTATGAGTCTGGGTAATTTACAAGACAAATGGAAGAATGGGGTTTTATTTTTGCTACATTTGGGATATTATTACTTCATTCCAAAAGAAATAAAAGGTCTTATAAGAGGTCTCTGTTCCTAAATTTCTACTGAACACTTCTTTATATACATTACTATATTTGATTATACAATTTGTAACAAGCAACCACTAGAGAAACAAATTAATATTCAACATTTTAACCAATAGCAATGTTCAGAGTACCAGAAAAATGACTTTCTATCAGACACATCTTTGACATCCACCATCAAACTACAGATGGTTTCCCACTTATAATGCTCTCACTTCCAATTTTTTTTAACCATTCCCATACATTCTATTCTTCACTTTCAGTGAAGTATTCAAGTAAATTACGGGAGACAGCATTTTATTTATTTATTTTTTTTTGTCTTTTTCCTTTTTATTGGTACCGGGGATCAAACTCACGACTGCCTGCTTGCAAGGCAGGCGCTTATGCCGCTGAGCTAAACCTCCAGCCCCGAGACAGCATTTTACCGTGACATACTTTGTGTTGGATGATTTTGTCCGATTGTAGGTTTATGTAAATGTTGTGAGCATGTTTAAGATAGGCAAAGCTAAGATATGATGTTTGTTGGTTTAGGCAGTATTCATTAAACTTATTTTTAACTTAAGATACTTTTAACTTATTTGATGGATTTATCAGTGTATAACTCCATCAGAACTTGATGAACATCTGTAAACTTCTTATATAAATCATAACAAAGGGCAAATTTAATTTATAGGTGATTAATTTGAATGAGACATTTAAATTTCAAAACAAGTTATGTCACCATCAGCACTGTCAATAGATTCAAGTTCCTTACAACAGATATGTCTTCATAAACAGAAAGCAAAAGGGCAGGGATTAGTGTTTACAACTCAGTCATGGACTGAGATCATAGTTTGAAAGCGAGGCTTGGGCTGGGGATTTAGCTCAGTGGCATAAGCGTCTGCCTGGCAAGTGTGAGGTCATGAGTTCAATCCCTGGTACCACAAAAAAACAAAAAAAACAAACAAACAAACAAAAAAGAAAGCCAGGCTTTCCAGCTTGCCTTGTGTGCCCTGTGTTCAGGGCCATTGAAAACTCACCATTTTCCAGGCTAAGCAGGGGAACCCACTAAGTGACATGTTCAGACTGGCAGGGCTCAAACATGCAAGCTGAGTCTTCCTGATACCTGGAGGACAGGCGCACCCTTCTCCCCAGAAGTCCACAGGCCTCCCAAGTTTCTCCCCTTCTACACCCTTTGTTGTTAATCCCTGTTATTCTTTGGATTTATATACGCATCAAACCTGGCATAAAAACATTTGGGCTAACCATTTCTTTAGGTCTTCATTTCCTTATGAAGGCTCCCATGTCACATAAAATTGGTGTTAAATAAATGTATTTTTCTACTACTGTTAACCTAGGAGGGTAGAAGAAAATGATATTTTCTTTTCATGTAAGTTTTGTTCTGACTAGTAGTAACTTTCCTAGGTTATAACTTTTTTGGGGAGGGTACTGGGAATTGAACTCAGGACTTGTACTTGCCAGGCAGGCACTGTGCCACTGATACTCTGGTCCCCTGATTTTTGTTTAGACACAGGGTTTTGCTCTGTGGTCTAGGCTGGCCTTGAACTCACTAGGGAGCTCAGGTTGGTCTCAACTCACGGTGATCTTCCTGCCTCAGCCTTCAGAGTGCTAGGATTACAGGTGTGGCTTGGCTGTGATTTGTTTTGCACAAGATTGCATTTGTTATTCCTAGACATCTTTGTCAGGCTTTACTGGCTTGCTCTTGGTATCTTTGTATTTACACAGTATTGCACTATCCTCATTCTGTATTTGTCTGCTAGTATAGGGCTATTCATATCTACCCCAGTGATGGAAAAGAGCAGCTCCTGAGATCTTCTTTAGCTCCCATCTTCTTGACACAGTGGTCTCTTAAAGGCTTCTGGGCCACCACATTGCTTAGGTTGTGGCAACAGCACCACTGTGGACTTTGACAGCTACATGACAGGAAGACACAGTTGCTGATCCTGAGTCAATGTGTTCAAGTATTCTTAAGGTTTTTATATTTCAAATTTTCAAGAAACCTCAACAGAAAAATGCAGCACATGATGGTGTTCTAGTATTTTTTTTTTGTACTGGAGATTGAATTCATGACCCTGTGCTCACCAGCAGGCAGGCAATGAGCCCTGGCCTTAGAATGCTGTTTTAGTCAGGAGAGGTCCCGTGGTATGGTGGGCTGCCCGGCACTGACATAAGGTTACCTCGCTTCCAGCTTCCTAGAGTCTTAGCATGTGCTCAGTGTACTTTATGATGCTTGTGTAACATGAACTCACCTGCTGAGGCATTTCTCAGAACAAGTGCCTGTCAGAGGGGACACATGACTGTACAGAAACTTGCTACTACAACTGTTTCCTTTTACTTTGTCTTAAACTGAATCTTGTATCTTTTTGAATAAAAGTTGGTTCTTCTAAATTTTTTTTTTTTTTTTTTTTTTTTTTGGTACTAGGTGGTACTCACAATAGTGTGCTTGCCCCGCAGGCGCTTAAAACTGCTGAGCTAAATCCCTGGCAAAAAGTCGGTTCTTTGAGGATTTCAAGTATACAAAATTTTCTGGTCATAAAAATGTATGTTTGCAAGAGAGAAAACTAAGCACTAAAATTAAAAAATTGAGCAATTCTACAGCAGAGTCTAGCATCTGGGAAATTCATAATTAGTATGATCCTTTATATACTGGCAATACTCACAATGACGCTAAACATAGGTGACAGCAGATATTAAAGGTGAGAGATTAGAATAACAGAGGAGGCAGGACTGCCCTTCAGAGGCTTCCTCAGGTACACAGCACCAGTACATTAAAAGGGCTATGGCTTCGTAAACCTTTATTATGTAGACTTCAAATTATCTTAGAAATGATGCTACCAAAGGAAGATGTAGACTGATGGTATAATTTTAAAATACCTTTGCAGAAAGAAGCCTTGTTGCTAAAACTCAGAAAGCCGCATACCTTGTATTACACTTATTAACTCAAAGGGGATGATCTGTTGCACAAGCAGCCTCTGGTGACTTCCTAGGGAACACAGTTAATTCACTCATGGAAATACAAAACTGCACAGTGCAAACACTTTCCCTACCTCTCAATTTCCTTTCTGCTAATTTGGGCCAGTGAGCACAAAAATAATCAGACTTTTTTTTTTTTGTCTTTTTGAGAAAGGGTCTTGTTACGCAGTTCAGATTGGCCTTGGGCTCAGTTTGTAGTCCAGGCTGGTCTCAAATTTGTAAAAGATCCTCCTGCCTCAGCCTTCTGAGTGCTGGGATTACAGGAGTTGCCACTGCACCCAGCAGTGATCAGACTTTTAAAATGTTTTTCTTTTGGGGGGAAATGCTGGAAAACAGGAGAAAAAAAGAAGAAATTTATAAGCTCTCTAAAAAGGGGAGTCCAATATATCTGTGGTAAATACTATTTTTTTTTAGTAAATATTATTAAAAAATTCTGCTCTAAAACACTAGCACAGGAGAAAAATAAAATCCAAACAGACTCCCTTAGTTTATCCCACTGAATGGCTAAATAAAACAGAGCAACCATAAGTAAATGTCTTACACAGCTAGCACATTAAAGTTCACGTGAAAAGAATATGCTGGCTTTTATCCTGAGCATGACCGTTTCCTTCCTCACGCCGCTGTTACCCTCCAATGGTGTCCTCAACTGGGCTGAAGGGTGCAAGGGCACAGCACAGGACACATAACAGCCCGGAGGCACAGAATGCGTGGACAGGGACCTCGGACAGAGCCCGTGTCTTCATTAGACACCAATCTACAGATGAATACAACTGCGGCCAAGGGCTGAGATTCACTGATGCTACCTGACCCAGCGCGTTTCAGGAATCCTCATGCGTTGCATTAAAAGGACCTCTTGGTTGGGGCTGGGGATTTAGCTCAGCGGCATAAGCGCCTGCCTTGCAAGCAGGCAGTCGTGAGTTTGATCCCTGGTACTGATAAAAGGAAAAAGACACACACACACACAAAAAAGGACCTCTTGGTTTACTTTACCCTTGGAATGATTTATACTTTGAGTTTCTCATGTTAGAGAAGCCATGCAGTATTTAACTTTAGGTAGGCTTTTTGGTGATGGGAAAGGGACCTAGGGAAGGAAGGAGAGGGGAAGGAAGAAAGGGAAGGGAAAGTAAAACGAAGTAAGATGGACTACTTCACCGCTCCCCACGATGAACTAACTGTATTCATTATGTGCTACTAAAATGTACTAATAAAAAAGAGAAAAAATCCAAAGATGTTTGGATGAAAGGGTATTTCAATAAAGAGGAAATACTTTATAGTGGGATTATATAAGCTATTTCAAATAAAAATATTAATTTTATTGGAATTTAATAAGAATGAAAGGTTAAAATAATTCAAAATATTAACATTAGATAAATGCTTTTTGATCTCTAGAGAGACTTTTTATAAAATCACTCTAGCTTGAGGAAATATAGAAATTATTAAATCTCTGACAAAAATCAAAAGGTCAGAACCCTTTTAAGAATAATCTACAACATATAGTGTTACTTAATTGATGAAAGGTAGAATTTTGCAAACCAAACTTTTTCTTCTCTGTCCCAACTTGTTTTTTATCAATAAGGTTCTATTAAAATGGTATATTATTTATAAAAGAATGGATCAGAGAGTGATGAGTCTATTTTTTTATTTGTTTGCCTTCACAGACTAAGATTCAGCATGCAAGATAAAATTCTATAAGGGAGAATGAAGCCAGTTTAAAATTTACTTAACATTTATTTGAACACAATTTTGAAAGATAGGCAGTAAAATAATAAACTATAATACATATATACCTATGTAAGCAGTAAGGTAATTAAGAAACAACTCACCATTTTTTAGGCTTTGATAATGGTTTATATTTGCTGTATTTTACCCGCCATTCAAGAACTTCTTTACAGCGCTGACATACTCCATCATGAAGTTTTGCATTGATTTTCTTTAAAAACAAATAGAAAAAAAAAATTGAGAATTTTACTTGAACCACCATGGCAAGCTTTATAAAAAGGCACATAAAAAGTATACGTGTTTTGCAAAACAATATCCTAACTTTATATAATATTTCATATGATTATGTGTGTATATTACTCAATTTGCTTCTTTACAAAAGCAATGGCTCTTAACAGAGTTTAGCTCAGAATCATCTAGAAAGCTTTTTAACCTCCTTGCATGTATATTTTATGAACCCTCACCTGTCAATCCTAATGTGTATCATATTCTGATGGGTCAAAACTCAAATAGTTAAGACAAATGTATTTTACTATATGTTGATTACACCTTAATAAAATGTAATAAAAAGTAGTTTATTTTTTAAGACTTTAAACAACTCCAATGTGAGTTGATTAAACTGAGAAATCGAAGAATCTTGAATTAGTCTGCAAAGAGCAGACTTCAGGTGTGCCAGGGAGGAGAGGCTGGAAACAAGAAGGCGATTTCTTACTTTGTTTACTTCTTTTGCATTTTCAGGTAAAGAAAAATGTTTTAGAAAAGTTCGTCTTGCCAACCTGCTTTCATCAAAAATAGAAAACATTATCTGTGGGGCTGAGAATTGAACTCAGCAGTGTTAGCACCTGGCTGGTGAGCAAGAGGCCATAAGTTCAGTCCCTGATACAGGAAAAAAATATGTATTTGTGGGTGTGAATAGCTTAATGTGCAAAGGGCTTTATGAAGTAAACATTTAAATTACAATCTTCTTCCCAAAAACTGTTTTTTCTGTAATAGTTTTACATATATATTTTTAATATACTCATTTGATTCACGTCTTAGATTGAGTATTTTCACAAATCATTCTGAGAATTCTCTGATTTCTTTTGGATGAGGAAGATTGAAGGTTGGAAGTGAGCAGAGGTCATTTTAAAATTTTAAGACTTTTTTTGTTTTCTTTCTTCAATTTGTGAAGGAGAAAAACACATCCCAAAGATAATATCCTTCGGAAAGCTGATTGTGAGCTTTTGAAAGCCCAATGCTCAGATGAGATCACCTAAAAGAAAAGAATTCTGAAAGGTATTTGGTGTTTTTGAAAGTGCTGATAAGGTAAACAAATCTGAGAAAACATTTATTCAAAAAGCAAGTATTTCAAGAGTATTTTCAAAAATCCATAAATTAATCCATGAACATATTTCAGTTAACTCTAGTGAAAAACACACTCTACCACTTAAGAATTATGTAGAGGCTGAATGAGTTCTGTTCTCACTGGCCTCTGTTACCTTTTAAGTAAGTTTCCACTACAAATGTGATACAAACTTTCTAAGGAGAATGTTCTTAGAATGCGGAACATTTTATTGTGTTCCATTTTATTACATGTGCGTGTTAACTTATTAATCAGGCAACATTGTTTGGTTTCCTGTTTGCTTCTGTATCCAATTTCTGACTAGTCGATCTTGATTTACACAGCCTTGCAGTTTGGAAACTGGTTTCTTCAGGGTGGATCAGCAGGAGAACAAAACCGATCTTTGTGGGAACTTGTCCTGTGAGTGGTGTGTGAGCCGTATAAATGGAGATGCTGTACAGAGTTCACATGACTGACTGGCATGACTACAAAATTAAATTTGATTTCCGTGTGTTAAGAAGAGTGAGGGAGAGGATGAGAATAAGAGCATTTTCACTTAAAAGAAAGGGAAGTGTGTACTTTATCACAATTTAACAAACTGGAAACGAATCCAGTAATGTGAGCAAAGAAAAATAAATCCTAGGGCAGGAATTGTTCCTCCAGGGCAAAGGGCATGGCGACCTTAGCCTGTGTTTATGACTAACCTGATTCTGGCAATTTCAGTGTATTTGTCATAGCAGATCACAGGTAAGGGTGAGATTTCAGTATGCCCAGATATGAAATTTTTTTTTTTTTTTGTCTTTTTCGTTTTTATCGGTACCAAGGATTGAACTCACGACTGCCTGCTTGCAAGGCAGGCGCTTATGCCGCTGAGCTAAATCTCCAGCCCTGATATGAAATAATTTTATAAATAGAAAAGTCTTTCAAGGATAATTTAACAACTATTTTCCAGATTTTTTAGGGGGAAAAAGTTTAGAGTCCACTGAACTTAGAAGTCAGCTAAAGAAAACCTTACTTATTATGTGGATACTTTAAAAGGTAGAATAAACTTAAGTATATCTGGACGGTTTACCCATCATTGTATTTTAGAGTCAGTGATGCTGTTCCTGCCATCCTCACACTGTTGTCAGAAGCCCCTCTCTTGTAATATAAAACCGCAATCCAAACCCAATGAAGACTGTAACTTCCTAGAAGGCAGCGAAGGGGAATTACATGTATTTCAACATGCTGCTGCTAAAAAACATTTCATAAATAAGGCTATCATTTAACTGAAGGATGGTACTGCTTTGAGGGAACAAATCTGAATAGTATTCAAAAACTACTAATGTAACTTTTCTGTGGGACTTATATATAATTCTTTAAGAAATGTTAAAAATAAAACAACTACAGATGTTATATTTTACTTCCTTTTATTAAAAACAATAAATAAAAGAATGAAATTCTCAGGGGCTGGGTATTTAGCTCAGTGGCTTAAGTGCCTGCCTTGCAAGTATGCAGTCATGAGTTCGCTTCTTGGTAACACCCCCCCCCCCAAAAAAAAGAATGAAATTCTCAAAGGAAAATGGCAAAGTCACCTGCTGTTGGGTGTGGTCTGTGCCCCACTCTAGTCTTCCCCTTAAAAAAAAGGATTTCCCTCCTGCAGGGCATGGTGGTGCGGGTCTGTAATCCCAGGGCTTGGGAGGCTGAGGCAGGAGGATGGCCAAGAGCTTGAGGCCATCCTGGACTACATAGTGAATCTGAGGCCAGCCGGAACTACTGAACACAGTGAGACCCTGTCCCAATGGGGCCCCACTCCTGCCTGCCCTGCCCCGGAGAATTTTACTCTAATAAATGTGCTACTCCTGAAGAAAGGAACTTGTATACATTATTTAATTACACTTAAAAGTGTAGACTTTTTAACTTTATAGAAACATTTCCCTTTTCTTGCAAATACAATTCCTAGTCTTGAAAATGTCTTTAGGTTGTGTATTTGAAATTATGAACCATTTTTTTTCTTTTTGGTTCTCAGAATTGAACCCAACATTTTGCTTACACAAAAAGAACGACCAACAAGCTATACCACGTGCCCTACATTGTTTTCAATCCTTCGAACACCGTTGGACATAAAGCATCTTATAAAATAAAATTTTAAAAAAGCAGGGAGGAAAAGGATGGAAAACTAGGGCCGGGCACGGAGTCATCAGGCAGACACAGGGAGGCGCACCTGCTGGAGAGGGCTTCCCAGCAGTGGGCAAGCAACCCAGCGTCTGGAATGGTTTCTGCGGGGGCAGCGCAGCTCCAGCTTTCCCCAAAAAGATATCATACAATCCAGTCCACAAAATTCTCTAAAACACACCCTACAACACAAAACATTTCACAGAAAAGTTTCCATAGTTCTCAGTGTAAGCTCGTTATCATGCCCAGAATGCAGGAGAAAAGAAGTTCTGAAGAATGCCGTGCAGGCACAGATCCCCAGTGGTCACAGATCCCCAGAGGAACATGCTGCGTGTGATAAGGCCATCTTTAATAAATACTATTTTTCCCCACTGCATGCTAAGAACTTTTACCCTATTATGAAAAATGTCTAACTTGCAGAAAAGCCATACACACTAGGTCGAGACAATCATTAACAGTTGACCTATTCGCCTTTTCCATGTGTGTACACTTAAAATAAGCGAAGGACATAAGACATTTCATCTCTTCTTACTCATCATGTCTTAGAAATATTTTTTCTCAGGGGCTGGGGATTTAGCTCAGCGGCATAAGCACCTGCCTTGCAAGCAGGCGGTCATGAGTTTGATCCCCGGTACCGATAAAAAGGAAAAAGACAAAAACAATGTAAGAAATATTCTTTCTCCTATTTAACCACACTGGTCCAATCCTAAGAAAACTGAAAAGTCAGTATGTAACATCAGTCAGAGTGGCCAGTGTTTACTGAAATTTCCTAAGTGTTTCAGAGCTGTTCCCCCATCCCAACCCTTATCACCAGGATTAAATCAGTACTCAAGTACTACTGGCTGTTACATCGCTCTTGATTTAGAGGTGTCTCTCCCATCTCTTATTACACAGTCGTTTATGAAAACGACCTAGCCAAGTTAGATCCTTGAGAATGTCCCATATCCCAGGTTTGTCTGGTTGTTTTCTCATACTAAAATATAACTGTTTTCCTTCCTATGTTTTCTGTAAGTTAGAGATTTAAAGGCTTGCCTGCATCCAGGTTAGATATTTTTTGATCAGAAGAGTGCATAGTTGTTAATTTTTGCTGCTTTCTACTTTATACTACTCATGTCAGAAGGTAATATAAAGTCTAGTTCTCACTAGTCAGCAGTGCTGAAGTTGAGTGATCAGGGCTTGCAAGGGAAACAATTTAATACAGGACACATAATTTACAGGATAATTTTACAATATTCATCCAAAGAATCAAATGTAAAAGAGTGCCGGAGACTGGTCCATACACTCAAAACTCAAAGAACCCAGCCGAGGACCTGGATCCCACCGCAACGTCCTATATCAATCCAGCTGGACGTATAGAACTCACAACGATGTCTCATGCAAGCGTATTTTAAGGATCTGCACTGGGAAGGCCCAAAGGCCAGGAGTGGAAGTTAGAAAGTCTGTGTCAGTGGGATGGAGGACCTGTACCTGCAGGCTAGGGACCAGTACTGGAGCCAGAAAGCAACACTCAAAGGATGGAACAGAGCTCCCTCATAAAGAACCACAGCCAAGGTCAGGGAAGACGGGATCACAGCTTCTCAAATGGTAACAGCCAAGTTCATGTCAGGAAAGCCAAAATTACTAATGGTAATTTTGCATTCCCAATAACCACGGATGAAGACCTAGTTTTCCAAATGCCTTCCAGACACCTGAAATTGTAAGTTTTTTTTTGTTTTTGCTTTAGCTATTTGAAAAGA